ACTCATAAGAGAGCACACTTTGTGCACTCTCTCAAATCAATAGGCAAGATCAGCTGTCTTCCATTAGCCACTCATTTTCCTTTTTCTAGAAGGGAAACTATTTTTCTAAGTAACTGTAAATAATCATCAGTAATGCCGTTTAACTTCAATAACTCAAATCTGGCCAAGTTTAATAACCTCCCTGTGTCAATTATGTTTAAGTTCTTCTAGAAAAAATGCAGTAAAAACTTCCCTTGCTCAAAGGCTTTTCTCCTAAATCCTGCATTGATCAAAATTTATGGAGGCCTTTTGGGAATTATTTTATCTACACAGGAAAGAGAAAAGCACTAAAAATGTAACTTGATGTGTTGAGAAATGAAGTTAAAGATCAATTGGGCAAAGGAACCCTTGCCTCCAAGTTCAGCTTCCTGTCAACTCATGTAAGAAGCAATTTGAGGCCCAGAATATCACCAATTATGATGTCCTGTAATTCAACTTTTTTTCCTTCAATACAAATTCCTTTTCCATGACTCATAATGTTTTTTTTTTCTCTTGAAGTTTGACTTGAAGAGTTATTTTTCTCCACAGTTGAGTATTGTTGCAATTAAAATTATTGTGATACATTCTTGGTTACAAATAATTTGTTTTTGAGATCAATAACCAAAATAACCATGATCTGATTTGAATTTATTTATATAGGATTTTCAATGAAGACGTGGTACTTTTTCCTGGTCTCTTTGGCTTCGTTGTAACAAGGTTTCAATGTCTTTCCTTGAGCTTTATTATTTGCAAGAATTTATTTACAGGGAGAATGACTTGCGAGTCGTGCGTCCATTTGTTTACGTTCGAGAGAAAGATTTGCGACAGTTCGCCGAATATCAAGGATTGCCGATTATTGCGGAAAACTGTCCTGGGTGCTTTGATGCTCCGAAAGTAAGTTTTTCTGGAAATACAAACATTACCAAATATGTATTTTTTTTTCAAGTAGCCATCGGAGGATTCGAGAAGGATTTGGATTTGCAACAAATGTTTTTTGTTGAATATTTTGTACAAGATTTTTTTTCTTTCTCGAGTACCGTATATAGCATTTATGAAATTGTATGTATTTTTGAATCATGATTCAAGGAGCGATACCGGATCAAGCAAATGCTGGCTCAGCAAGAAGTGATGTTCCCGAAGTTGTTCGCGTCTCTTTTGTCGGCTTTGCATCCCCTGATGGCATTTGGACGAGTTGGAGTGGAGTCGAAAATAATGGGCACCAGATTCTCTTGGAAGAAGGACGGAGAAGACGCGAATTTCTACTTCA